TCCATCCCTATCCCATCCCCTTCTCTCGTCCCCATCCCAACTCCACAAGGGAGCTGGAAAACCCCTCCCTCCCTACCCAGAAGCCCACCCCTGGCTGGACCAGAGGGTCCTCCGCTGCCCCCCATCCCACAGCACCCACATACCACCCACTTTGTCGACCCCAGCACCCACCTGCGCCCCCTCAGCACCCACCTGCGCCCCCCCAGCAGCGCGGCCCGCAGCGCACGCAGAGCAGGACGGCGATGGCCACGGCGGTGAAGGCGGCCGTGAGCACACACACCACCATGATCATGTCCGGCTCCACCGCCTTCGGGGCCTCTGCGGGGCGACAGCGGCACGTGGGGACAAGGAACGGACCCCCCCGACACTCCCAGCTCCGCGCCAGACCGGGGAATCCCAAAGTGCCAGCGGCTGCAGGCACCACCCAGGCGGGGGGGACAGGGGAGGGAGCAGGTGATGGACACACGAGGGACCCCTAAACGTGCCAGGGGTGCAGAGTAGGGGACAATGAGTACCACCCAGAGGGGGACAGGGGTGGTGGAGCAGGTGACACACGCATAAGGGAATGGGGAACCCCCAAATTGCCAGGGCGTGCAGAGTGGGGGACGCCAGGCACCGCCCAGATGGGGACAAAGGTGGGACAGGGGATAGAGCAGGTGAGAGACACACCAGGCAATCGGGGGGACCCCCAAATTCAGAGCAGGAAAACAGCAGGCACTACCCAGGTGTAGACAGGGCTGGACACAGGGGGACCCCCAAACCGGACAGTATCACCCCCCACACACCCCCCAACTCACCTGCCACGGCGGGCTGCAGCTCCAGGGAGCAGAGGAGCTGCGGGGCAGCATCGCCAGCCAAGTAGCAGGAATAATTCCCGAAATCGGGATCGCTGAGGTTCCTCAGCAGCAGGGACACACCGCTGTCCCCCGTCCCCACGGCGCAGAAGGCGACCCTGCCCCTGAAGCGGCCGTGGGGCTCCGCGGGTGGGTGCCAGCCCTGCTCCGCGGGTGGGTGCCCACCCAGGCGGTGGTTGAGCACGGGCACGGCGGGGTGGTCGCCGGCCTGGTGGGTGCAGCTGAGGGTGGCCCCGCGCAGGTGTCCCCAGGGCTGGGGGCTGCAGGGCAGGCAGGCGTCCTCGCCGATGGTCGCCGTGACGGTGACAGTGACGGGGGGCTCGTCTGCCGGGGGGGAGGACAGCGGGGTCACCCCACAGTGACCCCGGACGGGGATATTGGGGGTCTGGAGCTGGAGACCCCGTGGGACAAGGGGTGGGATCCTGGGTGCTGGAGGGGGGTTGGGGGCGGGAGGGCACGGCTGAGGATGAGACCGGTGATGCCACCGGCCTTGAGCGTCGGCTGCTGCCAAGAACAAGGGCTCGGTGGTGCCAAAGCAGCCGCCTCGTGAGTCACCACCATGCCGGGAACATCCCCCGTGCCCCTGCCCGCAGCCTCCCTGGCGCCTTCGGGGTCCCCGCTCTGCTGTCCTCACGCAGGGGAGAAAAAGGGTGTGGAAAGGGGGGTCCCCGGGGAGAGGGGGGGTCTGGCCAGACCCCCTACCCCGCTGCCGGTGGGTACCTGCCCAGGCGAGGAGGGGAAGCAGAGCCCAGAGCGCCAC